ATCCACTTTACAAGCTCAGACCATATTTTATCCATTTTGGCCATTGCTGTGTTGTAGCTGGGTACCCTGAGAGGGCTGGTTTTTACATTGTAGTATCAACCTTAGACTGAGTTCCGTATTGTTAGGAGTTTGTAATAAAGTTTAAATGCTTTTACTTTACGAGGAGTCAAAGTTTAAGCTGACGACAATTTGTTGAGTAGATGAGCCCTAAATCACAGTCTCATGACACGTTTACGCTGTTTGGAGAAGGTGCGGTAGCTGCCAGGATGTTTAAAAATGGTGGTTCCTAACAGGCTTCAACCAGTGCTTAATTTGTAATGCAAGAGGTGCCAGGGTTCAAGCAATTTTTTTTATATTTATAACTGACGCAGCAAGCCCAATGGTCCCGGGGCTATGAAGTGCCAAGCCCAATGGTCCCGGGGCTATGAAGTGCCAAGCCCAACAGTCCCGGGGCTCAGCCCAGGCAAGCCCTAGCACAAATTAAGCACTGGCTTCACCTCTCAAGATCTCAGGCCCAGTCTATGCTATAAAAATAATCAGGCCTCAGCCCCCACTAGTTTTATGGAGTAGAGACGCGGGCCCACAGTCTTGACACACAGTAGTAAATGCTTGTTGCCCAACCATAATCTAACGGTGGCTTTCATTGCCAGCATGAATCGAGATTTGTGTGGCTGGCGTTCCGATTGCTTTGCCATTTTAATAGCCAGCCTTTGAGATTTCAACCAGGCTTGGGTGGCAGAAAGGTCAGGAGCTTCCTTAAAAACAAAAACAAAACAAAAAAACGTGCTTCAGGTCTGATTTGCTGTTAGATGATCGGAAGTATTTAAAGCAGCCAAATTGTGTATTTCCACCAGCAGCTGGAGTGGAAAGTTGTTACTAAGATTTCTTCTGCCCAGCTGAGAATTGGTACGGTTTGTAATTCTTACATATTTTCCATGTTGATGATGTATTTGTATATTGTGATTGATGAGAGATAATCAGACAGGGGAAAAGCACAGAACTCTCTTGATAAAATGCCTGTCTCCCCTTCCCCCCGCACCCCGGTCAGGACAGAATGTATGAATTTATAACGACAACCGCCAAGTGTGTGAATCTGGAATTTCTGTAAATAGGCCATTCTGAACTGACACTTTGGTCTTTATAAAAAGTATAAATACTGTAGTACAAACCACTCGGTGTAGTTGGTATTTCTGTGTAATGTAAGGAGAAAAATGAGCCTGCCATTCATTTTAAATGAGAGGGGCTTAGTAAGGTCCCATCTACACAGCTGAAAAATTCATGCTTATGTTGAGTTGAGCCTGAGTTATGGCCATCACATATTTGGCCACAAAAGATATGAAACCATTTTTCCTTTAGAGATCTCCCTTAATCGTGTCCCTGAATCATGTTTAGGGTGACCAGATAGCAAGTATGAAAAATCGGGACAGGGGTGGGAGGGTAATAGGAGCCTATATAGGAAAAAGCCCCAAATATCGGGACTGTCCCTATAAAATCGGGACATCTTGTCACCCTAATCATGTTAAACCCTTAGAGAAATCCAAGGCTTTACGCAGCGTTCAACAGCATGGTTAAGACTCATGTAAGCTAAGACTGTAACCAGATCATGGAACAAACCCAATTTGTAGCTGGGTTCCCCAACACATGTATAAACGGGCCCCAAGCAATGTATTTGCAGTGTGTCGTTTGGACTTTAATTGTGTGTTTCAAGCTATCTGCACAGCCTGAGCCAACTGCATGGGGGAATGCCGCAAAAGGACAGGAGGTAAAAATGCATGAACTGTCAGAATGTATTAAGCCAACTAAACCTGGAATATGTTTTCCCAAGATTGTATGAGCCAAACATTTCTCATCTCACACCGGTTTTACGCTAGTGTAACTCCATTATGTGACATTATGGGGCTTACCCAGGCCAGTAAGCGGGTCAGTCAAGCTGACTCCTTCTTGTTGTGCTTGTGAGTCGTTACAGTAGCTATCACTGAACTACTTGTAGGCTTATGGCAGCAAATGGTCTGGGAGTCCCTGAAAGATTCGGTCCCTCTCTTGATTACATTGAAGTGAAGGAACATCCATCCCGTGAGCAATCTGCCTTTACCGAGAGATGTTAGCCTCTCTCCCTAGCTTTGTCTGAATTGCTCCCGGCCGCCTTGCTCAGTTAACCCCTTTAATTAGAGAGAGGGAAAGCAATGTCTCTTCTGCTCTGGAGAAGGTTGAAAAGACTGAATGCTGCAGTGACTGAAAGGAAAGAAGACACTGATTACCCAAGAGATTCACTTGTCAGCCGTCTCCCACTCACTCACACCCTCATCACAAAACAAGGGATTCTCAGGGCAGAAAAGAACTTACAAGTTAAAGGGGTCCAGCCACGGATCGAGCAGTGAGGAGGGAACCGCCGCACTCACCTTTCTGGTGCAGCCCACCTTGGGCTGGATGGTTGGATGGGTCCCCCCTTTCTAGGTGCCCTAAGCAGAGCTGTCACTATCTGTCACAGTTGAGAGTTGGTGACCCCTCTGGTCTGGCTGAGTGCACTTTCTCAGGCCCCAGAGCTTTGCTCTCCTGTGGTGGAATCAAGCAATTCTCTCACTTCTTTAGACTGGGCCCAGGATTGCCATATCGTGTTTATCTTCCTTGCTTACCCAGCCAGTCTGACTGGGTGCGGTACCCGCGGTTCTTCCCTTTGGGAGTTGCATAAAGTGATCGGACAGCCGTCTCAAACCAAGACCAAGATATTGTTTAATCTTAACAGTAGGAACAAAGTAAAACATAAGAGCAAAAGGATTTTAAAACAACACATGTCTGTCTTACCAAGAGTCTAACTGCCCTCCTGATGGGGACCCCGTCCCCAGTAGGTCTAACTTCCTCCAGAACCCACACAACAGGCTGTGGGTCCTTAGTCTCAAAAACCTATGTCTCTGGCCTTAAGGGAGTTTGTGTCTCTTTACACCTTCCTGAATCTTTTGATTTCCGCCCTTCAGAGGTACTGACTCTTTCCTGAGGAAGCTTGTCTGGCAATCCCAGCAGGGGCTCACACCAGAGCAGCAAAGCAACTGGCTCCGGCATCCTCCCTCAAGTGTTTGCTGTGCAGCATATATCTGGATTCCCTTCCCCCTTCCTGGTGCACACCTTGGCAATCCTACTATTGAATTCACTCAAAATATACATATAGCAAAACCCAGACCAACATATGCGATTCATAAATTATCACAGGCAACACCATATCTCTCACACTCTCTATTTTCTGGCTATTTTTCTCTTCTATTTCTCCCTTTATTCTGCCATTTTCCTCCTTGTCCTTTTCCTTGCAGGTGTGAGATTTAGGGGGCTGTTTTGTGACTTCCCCTCCCTATTCCCCACTTCCCAGAAGGCTTTGCACTGCTCTGGGTAAGAAGGACGAGCTCAGTGATAGCCGTGTATGGAGCACTTTTACCCTTGTTCTCCAGAAACTGCCCTGGCTCCATATCTACACATGGGCGTGATTCACAGGGTTAATAGACTGATAAAACCTGTACAGTTTGGGGCCCTGTCTACCTCTGAGACTTTCTTTCACCCTGTGCTCCAGCCTGACAGTTGAGCTCAGCTGAGGCGCCTCTGCCATCAGACATGAACGTTGCAGGTGTGGAGACAGACTTCCCAGTGAAGGTCCCTCAGGTCTAGGACTTGCCTCCATTTTGGCCCTACAGAGCCTCAGAGTCGAGGTATAGCTCATCTCTCTCCTCAAAGGATTATCTGAGGTGCAGCGTGGGGTGAGGGAGCCAGATGCAAAGAACGAACGGAGCTGTATTTTGTGGTGAGTTTTCCTGGGTTGATATTTGTCAGCAAGTGATGTGACGCTACGTTGTTTGAAACTTTTGATCATGTGCCCAGAGACTACATGGTGGGATGTTCTTATAAATCTGAATGCAAATAAATAAGTAAAAATAAGGTGTACGAGAGAGAGAGAGAGAGAGCAAAAGCAGCCTGTTTAAAAATCAAACCAACCAAGAAATGCTAACCTCCTTCAGGGACTGTGCTCTCTGTAATACAGCCCATTGTCCACTAGAGGGTGGCAGCTCTCTTGTTAACCATACAGGAGGAGTTGGAAATACACTAGCTTAGTTTTAAAGCCCTTCATGGCAAAGATTTATATGGAAGGCACAGCCCAGATATTATTCCAGAGTCCCTGAACAGAACTGAGGGTGGGGTTCATGTTGCTGGAGTGCAGTCACAGTTTATAAGTACATCGATGGGGAAATTATCATATCATCTTATGCAAATGTGGATGGTTAAATTCTCCTATTGTATAGGGAGGACCTGATTCTCCGTATGAGAATCGGAGTTATGCTGGTTGTCAAAATACAGTATTCGTACATCTCAACATGTCATTACCCTGTGTTGAGGGGTGCAGCTGAACCTGGCTATGCTCTTGCCCCTGCTGGCCATGTTAAACCCAGGTGGTCACACCTCACTGAGATCATGGAGCATGATCGGGTCTGCTAGTCAGCTCCCGGAGTGCTCAGAAACTGCCAGCCAGCACGCTTTGGCCCCCCACCCCACTCATTCTCGCTGGGCTCTGTCTGGGTGGAAGTGGATGGACCTGTCTTCTTGCACCTGCCCCACTCAGTGCACTGGAAGTGTGCAAACCTCTACCTCTCCCAGCCCTAACTTTAAATAAAGAATTCCCCCCAGACACACACTTTTTTTTTTAAACACACTGGGGCAAAGTAACTTTCTCTCGCTGGTCCCCATTTAATGCTCAGTATTTTCAATCATTAAAACTGCAGCCTTCAAAGACAGGCATCAGATAGCCATAACTAGAAGCTAGAAACCTAGGGACAACATTAAGCTACTCTGTATAAACTCTTGCTACCCACTTGATGGGCTGCAGGGAGGGAATGAAACACCTGGCTTAGAACACCAGTCCTTATTCCTGTTTTCACTTTCCAGCCACCATCAACCTTTTCCTCTGTGGTGGCTTAACACTGGCTCCCCCCTGCTCCACCCCTGCCTCTCTGTTCATGTGACTTAGTGGTGTCTGCACAGTTTGAAATGTATCTGCCTCTGGGCAGGCATTGGTTCCTTACCTTTCAGCCCTGCAAAGAGGAAGAGCCGCACCTTACCACACAACTGCAGCTAGTCTCCATCCTGCCTCCACCATGGGCAGGCGTGCTCTGGAGGTGGTACTGCTAAACGTCGCCTGTGGTGAGTTATAGCCTTCCTGGTGCTTTATCACATCAAATGCGACCTCTGGTCATTGCAAGTTTGTGTTTCTTTGCATTAAAAAAAATTACTTTTAATAACAGATTAACACGTGGAGAACAAATTTGCTCCTATAAATAATGATGCAATTAATATGTTTCCATTGCTCAGAAATGTGCTAGTAAATATGACTATAACCTTAAGCTTTGGTGTAGTCACTGTTCTAAGTTTTTGCTTAAGATATTTTTCCTTGCAGTCTGTGTTGAAAGTAACCCTGAGCTTATGGTAGGTAAAACACATTAATAAGTAGCAGGTGATTTGAGTTAAAGAGATCCCCAAACAAATCTACAGAGCTCACAGAAATTATTAAGAGTTAGATAAAGCCCATGCCGGGCACCTAAACTGGCTAGTGCACAGTTAATGGAGAGACATTCATCTATATGGTACCAGGACAGGAGCGAGGGGAAAACCAGTTACATGGGATTAATCTAAACACAAGTGAAAATAAAAGTCCAAGAACTAGCTAGTGTAAATCAGCATCACTCCACTGCAGTCAGTGGAGCTACATTGATTTACACCAGTTGAGGATTTGGCCCAAAGTATGAAGACAGCTCTTAATACCTGCATTAACTAAGAAATATCAGTTGAGGAAATAGATGAAACTATCTAGCCTTTGAATAATGGCTTGGTGGCTCTGCTGTGGCGTTGTGCACTGATTATTAGCACCTAACGTGCAGGAAGCTTATAAGAACAGTGTCAAAAATCTTTCCCTGAGCGGCATTAACCACAGCAATACGCTGAGCAGGAGAAACATCAGATCAATTGTACGAACAGCAACTTCAGGAATAAACCTGGGCAAATTCAGCTTCCTGGTATCCCGGGGTATATCTGGAATAGCTCTGCTGGAGCCCACAGGAGTTGCTCTGAATGCATATCGCTGTACAGGAGAGTGGAATGAGACTGGGGGAAATGAAATGAACCGATAATGTTGTGCTGCCTTTAATCAGAGGGAAGCTGCTCCCTAGGATCTTTTCCTATTTCAGAGTCTCCCTTTTAGAAATTCTGTATGAGTTTTTGAAAAGTCTGCAGAGTAAAATTTCTGTGTGTGTTTGGGGGAAGGGAAGCCTGGAGTCAAAGGCTGGGGGCCTGATCCAGTGTTTGGGGGCCTGAAAAGCTCCCACTGGATCTGGCCCTTTATAAAACAACTAAATTAGGTGGATTCCCACTTCCTGAAGGCCTTGAGCCAAAGCCAGCTGGAACCAATGGGAATAGTTCCATTGACTGCAATAAATGCTGGATCAGGCCTTATGTTTGTCCCGATTACCAAGTCCATCAATTAAAAGCAGCCATATATTGGGTTCAGCATAAAAAGGGAAAACCCTGAGTGGCCCCTGAGCAGTTAGTGTCTCTGAGCGTAAAACTGGGCGAAAGGATTTGGATGAGAGAAAAATATATTGGCCAGTTTCTTTATTGCCTCACCCAATAGTAAGGGACACGAAGGGGGATGAGGGGGAACAGGTAGGGGAGAAGAGAGTAGAAGGGGCTCGGATCGCTCTAAAAACATGGGATATTGTCTTACTTAAAGGACCAAAGGTTGAGATTTTCAGAGCCACTTAAGGGCTTCAGATGCACAATCTCCACTGACATTCATGAAAACTGGGTGTTGTCTAAATTCCTTTGGTGGCAGTGACAATCGCAGCCTGAATCAGTGGCCATCTTCTCTGCCATCAATGTGTGAAAATGGAGATTTCAAACCCGGATTAGTAAAAGGGAACTTTGAAAACTGCCCTGTTCCTTCGATTTCAGAACTCTTGAGCTCTAGTAAAGCTGAAAGAGCTGCAGGGATAAAAAAAATAATGCAGTTCAGGGTCTGCAACATTCACGAACTGAATCCTACATCAGCCAAGGTGGAAAGAGAGGCTTTAAAAAAGTTAAAAGTTCTCAGAAAAGGAACTGCTGGGTGTTGCGTGTCTAAAGGAGCAGCAGGGGGTTTATATACAGCTTTGAGTCGTTCTGACCCAAAAATGAGATGGGGGCTGTGACAAACTGACAATATCCTGAATAAGTCTTATAGAAATAAGAGAATTCAATATACAGCAGTTTAAGTTACACCTGATTGAATTAGGGTTATTACCTTTGGGGTACATTGTATTAAAAATGCAGCTGTGTCTGTGTCATTATATGCAACTCCTCTAGTGGAAGGGGGATGGTAATGTACTTCCTCCATTATCAGCCCATTGAAGCCACAACCCCCCCCCCCACCCAAGAAAGGGTAGTTTGAACTGGATTCTCCAGAGACCAACAGACTAAGAAAGGAGGTTTAGATATAAATAGGCTGATTTTATACAGGCTCAGGGCCATCTTCCTGATCCAGCCAACACACAGGACCCTGGTTCATGGAGACCTCAATCCTTAGAGAAGGGTTGGAAGGATTGGGGCTACCGAGGCCCACAAGACTGGGTGCTTGTTCTAAGCTGGAGCTGTGCATAGGCGCTGACTCCGTGGGTGCTCCGGGGCTGGAGCACCCACGGGGAAAAATTAGTGGGTGCTCTGCACCCACCGGCAGCCAAGCTCCCCCAGCAAGCAATGGGACATGTTCTCTGGGATGAAGCTCGCTCGTCCAAACGTCTTTTCAGAAGATGGAGTGAGCCACCTGAATGGTGTAAGAGTGGCAACACTCTGACTCAGAGGCACAAAAAATCCCGCCCCACTTTGTGGACTCGCTATGGACGTTAGTCTGGGGGAGAGATTTGGGGGTTGGCTAGTGACCAGGACTGGCCATGTGGAGACCTATCAAGGGATGGCTTCATTTTTGCTTTTCTAGCCTAACGAGAGGAGCTGGTTGAAATTTTTCAAAGAAAATGTTTTTCCATCAAAAAATGACATTTTAATGAAAAATATATTTTGAAAATGTTTCTTTGGGTGAAAAATTTCCTGTCCCTTAATTTTTTAATTATCAAATGGATATTGAAATTGTTTTGTATCAAAAGCTGAGCAGTACTGAACTCTTGTCGTGTCTTCTCTATCTAAATTAATTTAAGTTTAAGGCCGTTTCACAACCTTCAAGAAAACGAGTTAACTTACAGCTTCCTCTTTTCTATTTTTGTTGGGCTAGTGCACCAAACCGCAACTCTGGGTAGTGTGACAAAGCTCCGACCTTGTCTCAGTGGGTCCCACGCTTCCAGGCAGATTACGCTAGCCGTAGAGGCTCACTGTGACCCTTCACGTAGCCCCTCTCTCTCTAGGGCAGGGATCTCAAACTTAAATCACCACGTGGGCCCTATGAGGACTAGTACATTGGCCTGAGGGCCGTATCACTGACCACCTTTTCATATAAAGACATAAAAGCCCCCTGCTCTGCCTCTGACCCTGCCCCCACTCAATCCCTTCCATGAGACACCCCCCCCACCTCCCGCTCAACACCATGGAGTTGGGCAACTTGAGATGCCAGGCAGTGTACTCGTGACAGGCCATCAGCGTTGCCATGGTGGCTTCCAGCCCTGTGCCGTATGCAGAACTGGAACGGTTGTAGGGATAAGAACCACCTGGTGACCCTTGCGTTCTTTTCCTTATTCCACTGCATCCACTGGAGGGGTGCATGGTCTGTCACAAGTGTAAATCACTGGCCTAACAGGTAATAACGCAGGGTCTCCATGGCCCATTTGACAGCAAGGCATTCTCTTTCGACTACTGCGTATTTCTGTTCTCTTGGGAGAAGCTTTCTGCTTAGGTAGAGGATCGGGTGCTCCTCTTCTCCCACTGTTTGTGACAGAACATCCCCCAACCCCACCTCGGAAGCATCTGTTTGTAAAATAAATTCCTTGTTAAAGTCTGGGGCTATGAGTACGGGTCATTATAGAGGGCTGTCCGAAGGTCTGTGAATGTCCCCTCTGCTGCGTTGGTCCACTTCACCATGTCTGGACATCAGGCCTTTACCAGGTCCGTTAGGGGACTTGCCCTAGTGGTGAAGTAGGGAATAAAACATTGGCAATACCCTACCACGCCTAGGAACCTGAAGACCTGCTTCTTCTGGATCGGCTTGGGCCGGTTTTGAATCGCCTCTAGCTTATTCATTTGGGGCTTCACTGTTCCCCTTCCTACAATATACCGCAGGTACTTAGCCTCTTCTAGCTCTACGGCACATTTAGCAAGATTAGCAGTGAGGCCAGCCCACCTTAAGGTGCGCAGTACTGCCTCAACTTTCTTCAAGTGGGTTCCGCAGTCTGGTGTATGGATGATTACATCATCTAGGTATGTGGCTGCATAACTAGTATGGGGGTGCAGCAACTTATCCATGAAGCACTGGAAAGTGGCCAGGGCCCCATGTAGCCTGAAAGGGAGGACGGTGTACTGGAATAGCCCCTCCGGGGTGGAGAACGCTGTCTTTTCTTTAGCTTCTTTGGTCAGGGGAATCTGCCAATTACTCTGGATTTGACAAAAGGGTGTCAGGAATCGGGCACTACCCAGTCGGTCAATTAGTTTGTCAATGTGTGGCATGGGGTATGCATTGAATTAGGATACTTCATTCAATCGGCGAAAGTCATTATAAAATCTTGTGGTATCATCAGGTTTGGGCACTAGTACAATTGGACTGGACCACTGACTGAGATTCTTCAATGACCCCTAATTCTAACATCTTCTTCACTTTGGCCTTGATCTCTTCTCTTTTGGCTGCTGGGAATTGGTAGGGTCTCAATGTTACCTTGGCTACGGAGATAGTGCAGATATGGTGATAGGTCTCGGTTGTCCGCCCCAGTTTCATAGAGAACACATCTCAATTGCAGTTGATCACGTTGGCTGCCTCGACTTTTTGGTTAGGCGTCAAGTCGGCTGATATCCTCACTCGCTCGTGTAGGTTATCTTCTTGGGGAAGGGCCTCCTGGGTGACTAAGCATGCCTCTCAGTCATGCCAAGGTTTTAGAAGACTGATGTGGTAAATTTGCTCCGGTTTCCGGAGGCCTGGTTGCCGCACCTTATAGTTCACCTCCCCCATAGCTTCGACC